CAACACACGCACAAAGCAAGAAAACTGTAACTGGGAGTGTTTCAGAGTCCATATCAGAGTTCTAATGGAACCAGCAAATCAGAAGAAATCAAATCAGAAGAAATCAAATCATTAAGTGCATGGCTGTGAAGGTGAAATGTGAGGGTGGATGGAATGTGGTCAGTAATTTCCTTCTCAGTCATTTATAGTGCTGACTGTTGATCAATTTGTTGGGCATGGTGGTGGCCTGCTTGAACAACAGACCCAGGATAGCCACATTTATTGCCAAACTGACACATTGCCTCTGATTTTTCAGAAAAATCAGAGAAGTCACTAGATAAAAAAAATGGATGTGAAGATAAATACAACAAGTAACTATGTGAATCTGTAGGTTTGTAGTAAACACTAGCGCATGGACTATTGCCTTAAACTGAAACTTTCATGTCTAGAAAAGCCAAAGAAGTGTCAGAAATTTCCCACGTATATTTTGGAGCCAGATGAAAGGAACTGACGGCGGTTATAAATTGAATGAACTCCTTTCTGTTAGAGGAGGTAGCATCAATGCGGTCCTCAATGTAGTGACTGTTGGGGCCATGGTATAATGATTAAAATAATTGGTGTTTGATAAAACCTAAGAAAAGATTGGCACAGCTAGGTCCCATTTTAGTACCTATGGCTACCTTATTAGTTTGTTTGTAATAGTTGCCACCAAATGAAAACTTCTGCTGGTGAAGTTAACAAGTCTTAACCTTACATCCAAGACTGATCATTATCAAATCTCCCCTTGTGAGACTGACACATTATGATCACAAGAAAGGTTGTGTGACCAAAAGAACGGATTATCAGCATGGCCCTGATCTAGAATCTATTCTCATAATCCCTTTAATAGAGAATGTGTACAGTCTATTGAGGAGAATCTTCAAGTTGTTCACACTAGTAAAGCATAACATTGGTTAAGTCACTGGTGAGTCCAAGAGATATGGAGAAAAAAAAAACATTCATGATTTCAGTAATTTGTGAATTTAAGTGTATGAAAAAAACCATTCTTTCATTTTGGAGACAAGAAACGGCTGGCTGAATCAATTAATCACTAAAAATACAGTTGCTGGGTTGCGTTTTTATGGTAGACCAGTTATGGACAATTTTTTACCAAAGATTTCGTCTCAGTTCATGATGCAAACCATCTCCCTCTGAGACGCTCTGTATTTTTGGGAGCTATGTTCATTATGAAGTGATTATTACAGCATTTATTAGTATATAAGATATGGGATAAGAACAACAAAGCAGTTCTCAAGATCTTTATGTTAAGAAGCAAACCGAGATGATATGACCTATCATTAAGTCAGCATCAGAACTGGTTGAAATTAGATCACTGTCACGAAGTGATAATTTCGAAGTCACTGAGAGAGCTCATGGAACATTCTTCCCCAAAACTGTTGCTCTCTATCACAACGCAAACAAATGAAAATCAGGGAGTGGAGTTTTAACGAATTGGAATCACGTTTTGGAAGGTTGTGGCACTCATGACAGTTCAAAATATTTTCATGGGCGAACGAGTGTCGGAGTTGAACCTCTTTGTATTAACCTAAAACTCACATTGAACCTTTGACTACAGTTATCAAACGCAGGCATGGATAAGGAACTGTACATACCTCGTCGGGTGGTAGTTCACTCATTTACAAAAATATCGCATATGTAGCTAAAGACATTTTACACCAATTTTCTACCAGACTTTAACTGAATATCGTCGCCAATCGGCGAAAGACTTTCTAACAGTGAGCCAGCGACTAGTGTGGTGTTTGTTACTTGAGAAGTCATGCGCAATTGGATATTCGCAAGGCTTCGTGGGATACTATGCAAAGTCTTCTTTGTAAATCCTATCTTTGTTGCGTCCCTGAGCAAGAGCGCATCATGAGTAGAGACAGAGCCCCAAGAGTCTTTCTTGGTCGACTACCTCGAGACTGTAAGGAGAGAGACGTTGAGAAGTTTTTCCGTGGATTCGGACGTATACGAGAGATTAATTTAAAGAGTGGATTTGGCTTTGTGGTAAGCTTTTATAAGTTATGATGTAGCTCCTTTAACGCGGTTAAAATCGTGTAAGTGTTACGTTGAATCTATGCATAAACTCTTCCAATGTTTAGAGGCATTTAGTTCTTTTGTTACCCAGTCAAATGCTTCAAATCTCAGGTTTTACTACAAACGAAAAAAACAATGGGTAGTTTGCGTTCCTGTTTAATACAAGAAATAAGCTTAAGAACAATGGCTCTCTCGGGCGCTTTATCGGCAAACCGAAGGACAACAACCATGGAATCTTCGAAGGAAGGACAGCTTTAGTTTTCATTTTCCTGAGTCTCAGTATAATCGATTTACTAGTGCGAATGTGTAGAACGATATTTCAGAAGTTCGCTCTCATCACCTCTGGACCCTAAATGATGAAGAGGAACCTTAGTGAAGAAGATATATCAAAGATAAACTCAAATGGAATTAAGAAAAGAGCAAAGACGAATAATCAAGAGCGATTTTCTCCGAATTTACTCAAAATTGGACAAATTTAAGAGGGTCTAGATCAGTCCATGTACTGCAGGGTGACCAAATTGTGCATTTGGATAAGCACTATTTACAGTCGCTTTGATACAAGTCAATTTGAAATGAACTGAAGTTGATTCAATACTTGTGAAATACTTGAAGTCGTTTCAAAACAACCATAGTCGTTTCAGTACTAATAATGTACGGGAAAAAATTACTCAGTTCTGATTGGTTAAGATAAATGCAGTTTTCAGGTAATTCAGTGTAGAAGAGAGTCAATTCAGAGCAGGAAAGGGTTAATTCATTGCAAAGAAAGTAACAAACCAGACATTCTGATTGGTCAATAATCAAAGAAACTCACAGATAGCCAATCAAATGCAAACCTTGGATGTCGCAACAATTTGAAAATTTGCAAGCAAAACAATGGCCAGTGTTTAAAGTAGGTTTTCTTTCGCCACTGCAGCTGAATAACAGCTCAAACAATGAAAACACTGTAAAAAGCAGTGCTTTTTGGTTGTTGGTTTGGAAAAAGTGATGTTTAGAGAAGGGAATTGCTAAGGAAACCAAAAATTACTAGCCAACCCAGCTTAACACTTTGCTGGAGCAATCCAACGTCGAAATGAAAAAACAAACATGGTTAAACCTCGGAAATAACAATTCTATTTCATCGAAAGTGATTCGGACACAGACAGAACAATTCCTTGAACTATTTAGCCGGACTTTGAACTTTTTTGCACCTTAAAGAAGTGAAGATATCATTGCATATTATTGTTTTGATCGTACGCAGTTGTTTCGACTGAACGCATGGTTTGAATATATTATTTTTGTACTTGATGCTCACACTTTGCTTATGCTTACTTATGATAAGCTATCTCATCTTTTTTCATGTATATTATTAACATGTAATCACATGATTTTTCTTGTGCAATTTGGAATAAACAAACAATTGTTAATTTTTTTGAAGACCACAAATTGCATTCGCCATATGGGCTCATGCAATTTTGTTATTCTTGAAGAAAATTTACTCATGCTCATTTATTCCAAATTGCACTCGAAATCATGTGAATACCTATACAAACTAGTGAAGGAGTAATACACCACTTTATTAATACTGCATCCAAATGAATGCTGGGATTAGCCAACTAATGTTGGTTTCATATTCCCACACATCATTAATGATCTCCTTGGCCCATCAAGGAAGGAAATAAAGGTTTGCAAACATACAACTTTAAGATAATTTTCAAAGCTTCTTCAAATCTGCATCTCACACAACAACAGGAAAGATCTAGGCGATGTAAAATGACATGCCCCTTGAAAGACCTATTACAGGGTTGGCCAAACCTAGTATTCACTCTGAACTCAGTATCAGCAAAGTCACATTTTAGGTGTTTGATGTCTGGATGATAAACCAAAATTAACTTTAAAAAAAGTGGAAAAGCAAATCTCTCTCAAGTTAGTTGTGTGATTTGAGACTCAAATGTATAGCATGTTCCTGTTTGTAATGAAATTTGAATTTGCTGCCATTACTGAAGTCAAAGTCTAATCTCCTGGTGGGTCAAAAGACCAAATTACCAAAGTAGAAGTCTAATCTCCTGGTGGGTCAAAAGACCAAATTACAAGTTTAAAACTTCAAAATGTACAATAAAATGAACAAGTGAATGGCACTTTTATTTTCTGGTGAGTATTTACATGATCTGCACTTTGAAAAAACTGGAAATTAAGAATTGTAAAATTGATTTGTATGATCAATTGTTTTTGCTATGATAATCGGTAAAGCACCGCACTTTGCTTAACGCAACACCTCACTGTTGGCACTTGTTTCTCGTTTCAACTGGATAGCCTTTCGGTGTTTTTTGACCTGCAGATTTGCATTGTACACATTCTTTCTTTTGGCCTTCTTCTTGAATCGCTTGGTGGTTTCTTGTGGGTTCTAGGGCTGGTACTTGATTCGCAGCTCGCTTTTGATAAGAGTAGGCATCTATCAGGTGCTTACCCAACTCTAGCCGAAAAGGGGCTTGTGGTCGTTTTCGCAGGTTTTGCATCCTTAGGTATCAGCATTCTAGAATATAACCAATGCAGGCAGCAACGTTAAAAAGGAACTAAAAGATGTACTATACCACTTTTGCGACTGTCTTCCAATGGTGCAATAGGACCGAAATTGGTTAGCTCCATCTACACCACCCATGTTTGCCGTGTAAACATCTGATACTTGCGGTTTTTGTATGTCAATGTCTCTTCCTCTTTTCTGATGTTGTACGGTCCGCGAAGGCTCTTCTGGGGAAACATTTGACAACAAAAATCTCGCTTGTCATGCCATTTTGTAAATAAAAGATTTCCTCTTTGCTGTGTAATTGTTTGTCCTGGCTCGCAGGCAGCCCTTTGCGATTACATCTTACTGTTGCACAAGCATACATATCTTGTGCAAGCAAATGATCGAACAGGTCAGGGCTCGAAAAGAAATTATCAAAGAAAACATGATGTTTTCTATTGAAAAAGGGACAGGTAATACCCATAACAACATTGTATCCCAGCAAGTGATGCCTTTGAATTTCTCCTTCACATCCTAAATAAACAGAGAAATTGACAACATAACTGTTCGAAGAACCAGCTGCCATCCACACTTTAATTCCTTATTTAGTCGGTTTAGTTGGTAAATATTGGTGAAATGATAGCTTGCCTTTAAAACGCTATCATCCCCTCGTCAACCGAAAGGTTTTTTGTGGGCAAATAACAGCGTTGAACATTTCTTAAAACAGCATTCAAAGCAGGACGGCATTTGTACAGACAGTCGAAATTAACATCTCCTCGCACAGGTTCCCGACTCAAGTCATTCAGATGCAGGAATTGACTTATTTCTTCGAATCGGTTCTTAGGCATAACTCTTTTAATTCCTTCATTGCCCTTGAAAGTGTCTGTTGACCAGTAGTCGTGACCTTGGGAAGAATATTCATCCCATGATGAGGCACATTCCAAAGTAAGCTTTCACTTCAGGTTTAGAAACATTGCATCATCTACCAAGACATTGCTCATTGTCAGCTAATTTTTGGTGAGCATAGCAGTTTGTCTCCATGATTTTCTCAAAAAGATCCTTGTCAAACATTAAACCGAAAAAATAATCAGCTTTGGGGTTGACTTGACAGCGATTCCAGATTGAGCTGAAAATTCGTCAACAACGATGTTACTGAGGTCAGCTGTCCATTGTTGTTTTTCTTCATCGTTGCTGTCAGAGGCTTCTTTGTTGCCACTTTCACCGTTCGCTTCTTCATCACTTTCCTCACCATCCTCATCAATACCCAAAAAATCGATGTCAGAACCATCTCCTCAATATCTTTGGTACCTTCTTCATCTGAATCACCAAAAATCACCCTGTATTCGTCTAAACTAATTTCCAAAGGATCTACACACCTTGCCATTTTTCCACTCAGGTTATTATCAATTTGGAGCTGATGAAGCAAATAGCCACTACATAGGAAGTTTCTTTGCTTTATTGACTCCAAGTTGATAATAAACTAAGTGGTTTTACAAACTCACCGACGGAATTGCTCAATCGTTTTTTATTAGAAACTGATCATCGCTGTTGCCATGTTTGTGCATGCATTCATGATGCAAGAACATATTCGCATCTGTGTATCCCATCCTCAGGAAGCATAACTTATGTGCAGTAATGACAATTTGATAGGTCAATGCCTTAGTAACAGTAGGCAAATATTTAATAAGCATATATTCTTCACTGGGGGAGGGGATAGAAGGGGAAATTGACGACAGTTTTTTTGGCCGGTCAAGGAATAACAACGAGTTTCTGGTTGGCCGGTTTTGGCCAGACCAGGAGTGAAAGGGCTAATTAGCCTAATTCTTTTTGTCAATGAAAATTTAGGAATTTGATGACTACAAAGATGCTGATGATGCTGTTTATGAACTGAACCACAAGGAATTCATGGGAGAAAGGTATGTTCAAATAACGTACACAGCTCTGGGTCTTGTAGTACTTATCTCTAGGCTTGTGTTTTCAATTAAACCTTAGACCTTCAAGAGCCAATTTTTGTGCAATTTTTTATTGCACATCAAACCACAGCTGAATACGTGAATTTATGGGTGGGATGGCTGTGAAGGGATACTTGTACTTGGGATTCAAAAACAAGTACAATTGCGAATTTAATTTTAATACAAAATGACTGTAAATTCTGTGACTGCAGCACTCTTTACATGACATGTTTTAAAATTGTCATGACAACAACGTATCTCTGCTCTGACCACCAATCAGATTCTTTGCTCCCCATGCATTGAAAGATGATCTCACTCAATTTGGCAAAACTCTTCTCATTTTACATTTCAAATGAAATATTTGGTCACTCTGCCATGAAAACCACTCTCTCACCTGCTTGTCTAGTTCGGGATACTTGGGAGTGAAACAGCCCATTTTTGCACATTTTGCAGACATCTTTACCTTGCCAGAAAGAATAGTTGCCTGGTCTCTTCTTCAGCATCCCACCATTGACTCACTGAGTCCATAATCTCGAGGGAATTCCAAGTTGTTTTCTACAGTGCCAGCTTCTGCGATAACTTTTATCTTAAAAGCCCTAATATATGAAGAACAGCATGCTTTTGGCATCAAAAGAAAAATAACAGCAACAAAAGAGATACTCAATTGAAACGTTTGTTAGGTTACAGTAACTGAGAGTATTGTTGTGTTTCTGCAGTTAGGTAGTAGTATTTACATCTTTACTGATTCTCTTTTTTTCTTTTGTGTTTATTTTAATTCATTAGCTTTGTGTTCAGTGAGCCATTTCCCAATGTTTTCCATGTGGTGTGCTCACTCAAATGGCCAGCTATTATTAAGAATTTCACCCTCGGCTTACAGCTGATGGTTTTATTTATTTCTTTTTTTTTTGAACAACACGAGTCTGTTGGAAGGTCTCTAATTTTCAGGGTCTTGGCTTACAGAAGAAATACAGTAGTTGGGGAAATTTTGCCTTTGTCAGGGAAAATTCGAGGAATTTCATAAACTAATGACTGTAGCAACAATCATAAGGTAGTTATGCTTCAAATAGTGCATTGGCAATTTTTTTGCTCAAAGAACACCAGTGAAGATCTATGGTACCCTCAAGTTTAGGTATCATAGTCAATAGATTTTGCTAAGAAATGTTCTCTTTGACTTGAAAGAGCAAGATACATGTTGCTGTTGTGCTAAAAGATTGGGAATAAAAGCCTCTTTAGGGAAATACATATGTACATGTTTTTCTTTTTATGAAAGAATAACAGTGGAACATGCCCGTCCAACATCAAGGAGTGGAGGTGGTGGAGGTGGTGGTGGAGGAGGTGGTAGTGGTGGAGGAAGTGGGATGAGAAGAGGTGGTGGATTCAGGTTCCGAGACAGGTCAGTAACACACATGTTAATGGTCTTTTGATCACATGGATGTAATTTAATGTGAGATTCATGAAGTGTCTTAAATGTTTGCCTTGACTTAGAAATTTCTAGTGAAAAATTAATTAATTGGGAAGTGATGTGAATAATTATAAATTTTAAGGTAAGAAAAGACAGGCAAATCTCAATTTTACAGACACCAAAGTGCCTCTCTACATTCATTGTGATTAAACTCCTTGCTTTGCCCTCTTTTTGTGGAAACCTTGCACGAACAATTTGTTTTACAGCACCTGTCTCTTCAGTGTGAAGGTAGTTTTTCTGTGGTTAAAAAAAATTAGTTGTGTACATGCATCTGTGTTAGATTCACTTTTATTTGGAGTGGAATCCTTTCAGCAGATGGTGAATTTTTGCTACAATTTTGTTCATATATGTGACCCTGAAAGGCAAAACGGACACTAATGGAAAACTGTTCAAATGGCAAAAATGCACAGATGACGAACAGTTAATGAACAGTACTTGAAGCGTTCAAATGGTTTGTTCAGCCATTCGAACGGATGAGTAAAAATTTTAATGGATGGGCAAACCATTTAAATGGGTGAATAAATTATTTGAATGGTTTGATTAGCCATTCAAAGGGTTTGCTTAGCTGTTAAAACGGATGAGTAAAATGGATAATGTCAAACAGACTGGCAAGCTGGTCGACCAGATGAAAATATACAAAGTTGTTTGACTGGTTGGATGAATAAATTGCTTAATCAGTTTGCGAAACCATTCTGAGCGCATGGCTTAATCATGGAATGGGCAATGTTGCTGTGCATTGTTTCCATTTCATTTGCCATTGTTGTGAATTTCAAGGCCTTTATTCTCAGGATCGAAAATGGAGACTATTTCAATTTCTCATCGAAATAATGTTTTTAGTTATTGTCTGAAACTACTGAATATCTCATGAAAGTTGTTTTATCATCATGGTTTAAAATGACAGCTGAGTTAATCTTTCGTCTCACAATTTAGTCACATAGATGTGGATTGCAATGTTTCAACCGCTATACTGATTATCTGTAAAGAAATGACAAGTTTAATTTTCTCCTTCTGAACGGATGAACAGAACAGACATCAAACCATTTGAATGGATGCTGCAGTTCTCCAAACAGACACTTCTAGTTGGTGAACGATTCAAACAGATGTTGAAACCATTTGAACAGGTGTCAGAACTGCTCAAACAGATGTCATAATACTTCGAATGGATGCTAATGATTTTCGAACAGATATGCAAAATGTTTGAATGGTTTGCAGAATGCTTTGAACTGTTTTTTTAGGCATTCGAATGGATGACAAACAGATAACAAACAGTTTCCCCATTCGAACAGATAACCGTTAGTGTTCTTTTTGCCTTTCACAGTCGTGTGGTTGTTATTATGGTCACTACTTTATGTGAGTAGCCACAGTGGTAAGTGGTCCAAGTCATATTCCATTATTAATTCCAGTAAGCAGGACCAGTTCTGTATGGTGATTTTCGATTTTTATTTCATTTAGAAGCCACCTGTAGTCCATGACTACCCATTTTTAAGATTCTACATTTATTTAGATATGGTGCACCTTATAACACTGAATTCAAGTTGACAGTGGAAAATTTGTCCTCACGTGCAAGTTGGCAGGTGAGAAATACTAGACAGGGTTGATTCTCATTATTTGTATCCAGGATAGTACTGTACCTCTTCATTAAGGGTTTACAAAGCCTTCCTTGGTGTGAACTATTAATACTAATTAAAGCAAAAGAAAATATTTCAAATATGCAAGTACCCTCAACCTTTAGACATAGATCAGGGAGATGCAAAATTGTTAGACCTACTTCAGAAGGTGCAAAATATGATAACATGATGTTACATTTTAATTACCAACGGACAAAACTGACCAATCACATCTGACGAGCCTTGTGGGTCTTCCAGCTAACAGGCAAAACTCTATCTTCAAACAGCTGTTCACTTTCCTGTGATGATGACCTCCTTAGAGTAGAAGTCAACTTTTGCTAGTTTTCACCAACAACAGTCATTTCAGGATTATTCTCATGCAGATGATTACACAAGACTGTCAATTACTTAGCAAGTTTGTTTACAACAGTAGAAACTTGTGGAAACAATTTATTAAACAATTAGAACTAAAAGCAAGACCTTTTCTAGTGACTCATTTTCCCTATGCAAGTTAAATGGTGATTCAAGTTACATGGCAATGCCAACTTCATGCTGCTGTGAAACTTAAGTTCTGATCAAAGCAGCAGTTATGTCTTAAACTAAAAGAACATTATTTTATTATCACCTGTAACATCTTGTGTGCTCTACCATTCATTTGAAAGTTCATTATTCCTTCATAAATTTATCCTTTTTCCTTATGTATTCCTGTTTAATTTTGTAGGATTCACTGGTGATGAATGACAAAATTGTTGTTTTTTTCATTACTTTTCAACCCTACTAAACATGGCTTAAGGAATTTACCTAAGGGCAAAACTGACTTGCTCAAACAGCCAGTGCTTTGTTAAGTAATTATTTATAGTTACTGCATGTCTTTCTAGTCACGTACTCATCCACAGATGTTGTCCCAAAATGCTGTGCTGTGAATTTCATGTTCAACATTATTTTATTATTACTGTTGCACAAACTGTATAGCTACTGTAGGCCTCACAAAAGGTTAAGCTAGAAGGTGAATAAATTTATGAAAGAACAGCGATCTTCACGTTATATGCATATGGAAATATAAACAGCTCAGCTCCTTAAACAGTTGTCCGTGAACTCTACCTGGTTTTTCAATTTTTTTTTTTTTTGCAAGCCCAATGGCCTCTTCAGAGAAAGCAAAGGTCAATGGCCAGACTCTGGTGAATATAGATGGAGTTGAGCTGAAAAATAAGGAAGTCTCAAAACTGGTCATATCTGCCACTATGTATGTTTTTCTCCAAGAAATGTCACATCAGCAACACTTAAAGCAAAGACATAAAGTTAATGATAATAATTGTACCCTGGATTGTAACAGTTTTTCCTGCTAAGGAAGAGGCCTAGGCTAAAGTTATTTGGGCTTATTCACAACTTGCCTTTTAGGCTCAGAAATGCAATGATGAGAGAAAGTGTTTCACATAAAGGCTTCAAGAATTTGTAAAAAGCATGTGAAAACACTAATATGAAAGGATGAAAGTTCTCACAATTTGTTTTGCTTTACCTATACAGTACCTTTCATTTTGCAAATTTGACTTGCACAAGAAATTCTTAATGTGAAGTATGTCAGACTTCTAAATTTTACTATTTTAAGTGCCTGAGTTTACAATGAATGCACTTGCGATCTAGTTTTGTCTCAAAAAAGCACGTTGCTCTTCTAGCAGGGACCAATTGTGCATATCCGTCAACAAAACTTTTTTTCAATTTCTGCCATGGAAGTCTTCCTCCCAAATTGTTAAAAGTTTTCCAATGGGTTAACAAAAATGATAAAAAGAGTTGATCAAAAAGAATGCAAATAGAAATCTCATTCATTTTGTGATTGAGTTATGGCCTCATTCTTGAAGTGAACAAGTATTTTTACCTTTAGCTTTTCCTTGTGCAACTGTTTGTTAGAACAAAGTTTCATAAGCAGTACATTCATAAACTTGGTCAATTTCTTTTGAATACATCATTAAGTAGAAGTTCATGCTTGATTCCTGGACTCAGAAGTATGTAATACACTGCCAGAGTAATGCCAAATTACAACAGGTAGTAGCCCATACCAATGTGGCTTGCTACTGCATCATCAGCGTGATCTATAGCCTGATAAATACTTGGTCTTCGCCAACAAGCATGCAAGAGTGTTGTTTTAAAAACGAAAGTATGGTAACTTTCACAGTTCAGTCAGAGTGACTGTCCAGTCTATTTAGAGTTCTGAATCTGGTGTAGGCTTAAGTACCATATCAGTAACTTCCTTCCTTCCATTTCTTCCATCTTTAGCCACAGTACTTAGTGGTAAGGTACTTTATGGGAGCTTGGTTTTAGGCAGAAATCAATTCCTGATCTATGACCTGGTCTGTGCGTAAAAAGGGGAAAATTAGTGGCCCTGGCATAAAATATGACACTTGGCTTGCCGTCTTAAGATTGTGTAGATCATTCAATTCGTGGTGTGGTTGCTTGGTTGCTCAGTGGCCCTGTTTGCTCATGGCAACCCTTTTGGCTCATTAACAAGCTGACATGGGAATTGGTATGGCATGAAGGCCTTGGTTATCATCTCGGTTTAATTTGAAGTTCTTGGTCTTAATAGTTAGTTTTGCAAAGGTAAGGTTCGTATCTCTGTTCTTTAGGGATTTTTTTGTACAGCTCAAAGGTTTGAAATATTTAATTTGTTAGTGTAAATGAGTGCCCTTGTCAAAATGTATTGTGTTACTCACAAGATGCTTTTTTTTGTAATTCATCTAATGTACTGAAAGGTGTAACTTGCATTTCAGTTTGCACACTCAGCACCTACAGTGTAAATTATTAGGTTAATTTTTTTTTACATATTTAGCTGGAAGTCTTGTTTTACCCAATTTTATCATGAATGTCTTTTTATAGAGTCAATCAAACAAACTTGTCATCTCCTTTGGACAGGCAAAGAAAAGTACTCTTCACTGTACTTTGTACTAATGTCTTTGCTGTTTTGCAGGATCTGAAAGATTACATGCGCCAAGCAGGGGAAGTGACCTTTACCCAGTGCCATAGAGATAGAATAGGAGAGGGGTTAGCATCATTTGTTGTAGTGTATTTAAAAGCACTAGTCCAGGAATACTGACTTGTGTGACAGTTTTTATTTGATGTCCACTCATATTGTGTGTTAAACCATGGAATAAGGGATATATTATACCACTATTCTTTTATTTTCTTGTACTTTAGCTTCTAGTTTTGCATTAAATCCTTTGACCTTATCTAAGCATTATTGGTGGCACTGGCTAAAGATGATAACATAAGAGACCCTTAAAGTCTTCTTTATGCCCAACAAAAAAAAATATGATGTGCATTGAAGTTCCTTTCTTAAAAAGTCAACCCTAAAAGACTAAAACCAATCAAAGTTCAGTGACTGTTTGGTCATTTTGTAGCATTTTTGCCCTGCTCTTCAGTGTAATGTTGTTGCATATTTAATGCATCCCATTGCATGATATTGTAAAATGGTTTATTAGTGGCATATATTGACATAATTACTTGTTTGATATATTTCAGGGTTGTTGAATTTGCCAGCCTTAATGACATGCAAAGGGCACTGAAACGTTTAGATGGTACTGAGTTGCTGGGAAAGCGCATAAGGCTGACAGAGGTATGTTAGTAATCCTGAAAGCTATTCATGTTCAAGTCTTAAATATTAGTTATGCTACTTAACTTTTGAATAATGCCTTAAACATTTGAATGATGGAACTTCAGACTAGAGCTGTGGCAAGATCTTTAGCAAGTACTTACTTGACTTGAAGTTTTATCATCTAGCTAACCTGTGGTACATATTTTGGTAATTATGAAGTGATTTACAATTTTGGTGTAGAGATTTGCTGCCATTGAATTGATCATGTCATGTGAAATGTGACGCAACTAGCCATGCTGAGATTTTGGAAGTGTGCACGTTCCCCTTCTCTTTATGTGGGTTTCCTAAAAGGTCTCCTCTTCACAGCTTATTAGAAAGCAGCCATTAGTGTTATTGAAGCAAAATGCCTGTAGCTCTGATTCCTTAATTAGGAAAAGTGCATCTAGGCTTCTGAGCATGATTGGTTAGTAAATAAACTCCTGCTTATTTATAAACTATATTGGGGAATTTGCTTGCTTTGAGGTTCTATGCTCTTGATATGGAGACATGAATTGCTACATGTGAGACCTTTGAAGGTTAATCCTTGAAATTTTTCTTATTTTTGTTGTTGCCTTGTCGTCATAGTATTGAATTATGGAAAATCTGTATTAAAGGCTTAGTCCTGGGGCTGTCCAACTCTTTGGATGAGCATAAACAACCTTTGAGAGCAACTTGATTTTGTAATTTACCATTATTTGTTTACCATAGAGAAACCGACCACGAAGATCCCGCTCACTCTCACCACGGCGCCGAACAAGGTTGGCTATCTCAATTTTGCTTGATAGTGCTAAACTTTTCTCACAAACATGCTCAACCATGTTGTTCTAACACATTGTTATCAAAATGGTTACTCAAACTGTGTCCTTTCTTTTAGAAAATTAAGTCCATTACTCCCCCACTTTAACTTCAGGCCCCAGTTGTTCAAAGCTGGGTTAAGGTAACCCAGGGTTAGTGTGAAATTTAATTTCAGGTCTGAAAATTTTAAGAGAAAATTCAGTTCAAATCTTTTGCTTGCAATTTGATCATTGGATGTTCTAAAAGAATAGTGAAAATTTTCTCAAAGAGACTTTCGAACAAAGAAATAAAGAAAGCTGGATTAAAATTTAACCCAGGGTTAGAGCTAATCGGCCTTTGAACAGCTGGGCCCAGAACTATAGGCTATACTGAGCAAGGTGTTTGTTTCTCAACAGTAGGTCTAGGTCACGTTCGCCAAGGAGGTCACACTCACCTGCCACCAGAGGACGCCACTCGCGCTCTCCATTGGCTCAACGTGGCCGCTCACTATCACCACGCCCTAGTGGCAGTCCTGGAAGACGACTATACTCAAGTTAATTAAGGACTGGGTTGCTTTACAAAAAGTATTCTCATTAATATTGTGGTTGTTAGCTCTTGCTTCAAGTTCAGTCGCTGTTCAGCCCAAATTAGCCGTTGATGTTATTTTATCTTTTTAGATTGTTGTTTTGAGTTCTCGTTGTGATAAGCATTAGGGACAATTCACTTAACTTTTTTCAGTCAATCATTTAAGTGTATTGTGGTCAAATAAATTAGACATGATAATTTTTGTGGAGTCTTGTTAATTTTTATTACAGTAATTTGTCAAAAAGTTCTCTGTGGGAAAGCTCTTATATGGCAAAATCAGACAATATACTGTTGCTCTCTTTTTTTAGGCCCATTTACCTGTGTTTTGGACAAACTATGACCATGTTTAGAGTCAGATATATTGTGCTTAAACATTCAAGCATTAAGCTTTTGAACATTGCCCCTGAAAACATGGCAGTTTACCAGAATTTATGCAAATTATTTTCCATTTTGCTTATTTAAGG